CTTGACATCATGTGTTTGATAGTGCTTATTTCATATATTTGACTAACATATTTTTGTTATGTTCTGTTGGATTAGGATGCATCAACTGAGGGGGAGTTTTGCCATACATTGTTTAAGAGGGAGTTTTTCAAAATATTTTTCAAAATCTTAAATGTTTCAAAGAAAGTTTTTCATCAAGCAAATTTATATTTAAGTTTTGTCATATCAAAAAGGAGGAGATTGTTAGCCTTGAATTGATCCTTATTTTGAAATTAAAAAACATTAATCTAAATAAGCATGATTAAGATTTTGAAAAAGATTTATTTAGTACATGTTCTTAAGTTTTATATTTTGATACTAAATAAATAATATGATTTTCAAAGCTTAAACAAACCTTTCTTTGTTTTCATATTTGTCAAATCAAAACTATATTTAAACATTCTGTATTTAAGCTAAATGAAAGTTCAATTTTTGTTTTTAAAGTAAACTTATTCATTTTGGATTTAATATAATTTTGATAATATTGGTTTTCAGAAATAGATTAACTTGAAAGAGTTGTTTTAAAGAAACTAAGTTTTCCAACATTGAACTTCTTTTATTTTTCCGTATTAATTCACAAAGTTTTAATATTTAAATTTTATATGGTTGGAAAGCTCTTTGATTTTATTTCTAATGGACTAAACAAAATTAAAATCCAAATTTTTTAAGAAAAGATTTTGAATTTTTACCAGACACTCTATAGTTGTCTAAAACTACACAATGGGTAGATTTAAAAATTCACTATAATTCATACACAATGAATTAGGTGATGAATTTTATATGGATAGAAAAGCCCTTTAAGTCTAGTTTCTAAATCTTTAAAACGGTTTGTGATTTGGATTTGTATAACTCAAGATATGATCGAATTAGTGAGTAGAGTGTAAAATAGGATACAACAAAGCATCTTGATCGGATTGATCCCCTAGGTTACAAGATTGATCCCCTAGCTGAACCAATTGATCGGGTCCCTTACCTAATTGATTGAATTGTGTTTTTCAAGTGAAAAATGGCACAAAACTTGAACCAATTGATCCCCTCATAGAAGGGATTGATCAGGTCTAGGCAAAAACACTCCAACGACTTCTTTTTCATGCTTCCAACAGGCATTTCTTCTTCCCAAGCTTCCACAACAGCTAGTTCTTCAATTTCTCTATATATTGGCCATTCCAACACACTAAGAAGATTGATGAAGCAAGAGTGCTAGAGCCAACAAGTTATATTTTCATTTTCTCATAGAATCAAGAGTTGTTAGAGCTTAAAATCCATATCTTTTGTATTTGTTATATCCAAGAAATATTGTGTTCTTCATTCATCAAATTTCTTTGTACTTTATTAGGCAAACACTTAGCCTTTGAGAGTTATTTTATGTTTGCATTTTTATTAAGTGAATTTGTAATCAAGAGGTGAGGCATCTTCTTAAATTTGTGAGATTGAGAGGTTACTACTTAGCCTAAAAAGTAGAGAGTGTAAGGTTTTTATCTTAAGCCTTAGAGAGAAAAAGATAAAGATATAATTTCAATTCAAGAATAGTGGATTAAAGCCTTGGTGTGGACAACCAAGAAATGAGGATGTAGGTGTCTTATGGAGAAGGACTGAACCTCTATAAATCCTTATGTTTGATTTCTCTATCCCTATCTCCTTACATTTATTATTGTTTATATTTGATTCCTTGTTCATCAATTGTTATTGTTTGCATTACATTTTCATCAAAAGTGCTTATTGAATTAATTTCTCATTCAATTATTTTGAAATCATTATTCAGGAAGAATTTGAAAAAATCCAATTCACTCCATCTTGGATCACCATCTCACCTATAAAGCTAACAAGTTTCATACTTATAAACTCATAATGTTTGTATCTTTCCATTAGTGTTTCTATCAATTTAGATGTTGAATTTCAATTGATGTCACTTGTTGCACATGTGATACTAGTTGACATGTATAAAATTGATGACATAAAATATTTTATTTTAAAATAAAATTAAAATAAATTTTTAGAATTTATGAATGTTAAAAAATATTTCTTTTATATTATACCAAAATTGGCACTTGCATTTCATCGTAGTATTTTTTATATAATTTTAATTAAAAATAAAAAAATTTAAATTTATTATAAATAAATTATCCCAAAATGTATTTATTCCAAATAATTTGTTGAAAAATATTACCAACTACTCAATCAATTCTTGACTCAAATTTATGAAAATGTTATTTAACATTATTGTGTACTTTCTTGAAATTCATTATTTGAAAATGTTAATCTCTATTTCTATACTCTACATTAAGTATACATAAAATAATGTGAGAAGTTTTGTGAGTAAAACCAGAAAAAATCTTTCATTTTAATTATATATATTCATCTCTTATTAATTATTTACCATATTTCATTTTTGCGAATTTTGTGACTTTAATTTTATTTTCATTCATATTTATTTTTTTCTTTATGAATTTAATTAATTTTCATATTGAAAAATTTTAAGACTTTCTTAATATTTTGGGAAAGCTAATAAAAATCTATTAACCTTAAAATTTTATTTTAAAAAATTATTTGTATTTATTTAATTCTCATTTTGAAAATTTCTAAGACTTTTGGTGGATTCAATAAAATTCTCATATTTTTAATTTTATTTAGAAAATTGTCACTATATATAATCAATCTTTCATAACTGGATTTTTAAATAATTAATTTATCTTATATTTTAATATATTTTTACAACTTGATTTTTTAAATATAATTTAATAAATTAACAAAATAAAAAAATGAGATAGATAATTAAAAAATAAAAATGTAAATAAATATAATTCAAAGATATTTTTTTTGAAAATATTTTTCATTGGTGGATTAATTTGAAGTTAGATTTGGACTTAATTAATTTAGACTTGATTTTAAATTTTGATTTGATTAATTATGTGAAATGGCATGTGGATAAAACTCAGAATAAAAGGCCCATTTAATTATTTACTTGTCTAAAAAAACATGCATTTAAAGAAATAAAAATGAGTCTAAATATAATTATTTACTTATATACACATACACACATAGATAATCACAAGTGTTAATAATAATTATACCAGGTAAGAATAAAATATCTAGTTCAGCATCAACTACCTAAACTTACCAATAGGCACTTTTAAACTATTTTCGTCTACTAATAACATCTCGAAGAATCCAAACATCCGATGCATAATCTTCCCATCCCAATAATACATAAATAAATCATCTCAAATCACATGTGAACACTCCGCATTAGTAACTATCTCACTCTTTTTTGTCGTATATCTTGATTTGACAATTTTTGTTACATGCATCTTAATGTAGATACCATGTAATACTCCTACAAATTTTGTTAACCAAAATAACATACTTACCAAACCCAAATTTATCTAATAATTGCAAAGCTAAGCATATAACTATCAAAAGTCAGTTATAGGTTTCATACTTGTATACTCATGATGTTTGTATCTTTCCACTAGTGTTTCTATCAATTTGGTTGTTGAATTTCAACTGATATCACTTGTTGCACATGTGATACTAGTTGAAATATATAAAATTGATGACATGAAATACTTTTTATTTTAAAATAAAATTAAAATACATTTTAAAAATACGTTTTTAGAATTTATGAATGTTAAAAAAACATTTCTTTTATATTTTACCAAAATTGGCACTTGCATTTCATCGCATTATTTTTTAAAATATTTTAATTAAAATAAAAAAATTGAAATTTATTATAAATAAATTATCCAAAAATGTATTTATTCCAAATAATTTGTTGAAAAATATTACAAACTACTCAATCAATTCTTCACTCAAATTTAAGAAAATTTTTATTTAACATTATTATATATTTACTTAAAATTCATTATTTGAAAATTTTAATCTCTATTTTTATACTCTACATTGTGTATACAAAGAATGTGAGAGGTTTTGTGAGTAGAACCAAAAAAAATCTTTCATTTTAATTTTATATATTCGTCCCCTATTAATTATTTACCATATTTCATTTTTGTGAATTTTGTGACTTTAATTTTATTTTCACTCATATTAATTTTGTTTTTCTATGAATTTAATTAATTTTCATATTGAAAAATTTTAAGACTTTCTTAATATTTTAGTAAAGCTAATAAAAATTTATTAACCTTAAAATTTTATTTTAAAAAATTATTTGTATTTATTTAATTCTCATTTTGAAAATTTCTAAAACTTTTGGTGGATTAAAATAAATTTCTCATATTTTTAAATTTTGTTTTAGAAAATTATCACTATTTCTAACCAATCTTTCATAATTGGATTTTTAAATAATTAATTTATTTTATATTGTAATATATTTTTACAACATGGTTTTTTAAATATAATTTAATAAATTAACAAAATAGAAAAACAAATAGATAATTAAAGAATAAAAATGTAAATAAATATAATTCAAAGAAATTTTTTAAAAAAATATTTTTCATTGATGCATTAATTTGAAGTTAGACTTTGATTTAATTAATTTAGACTTGATTTTAAATTTTTATTTGACTAATTATGTGAAATGACATGTGAATGAGACTCAAAAAAAAAGGTCCATTTAATTATATACTTATCTAAAAGACATGCATTTAAGAAATAAAATGATCATGTTTTGCATATTAAACATGTTTCAAATAAAGAATCATGGATTTTTTTAATATATAATTATAAATAAATTATAAATAATTTTTTACATTTTACTTTTATTTTGAATTTTCTTTATTTCATTTCTCCCCTTCTCTCCCCTCTCTATAAGTTGTACCCCTCTCTAGTTCTTCGCAATTCAAATGGATAGTCCTTATTTCTATAATTCGACGATTGGTTGCCATCGCTGCCGACCGCCGCTCATTGACATCAAAATTCCTCAAAAAATATCTCTAATAGTCCTCTTGATCTCTTAAAAAAAAATGTCACACGTGTGACGTAACTAACACTTGACATCTTTATTAACAAAAAATTTGGCACGAGGACCAAAATGTCGTGACTTCATAAAAACGATACCAACAAATGAATTTCTGATAGTATAAAGATCAGAATAATATTTGACTTAAAATTTAAAGATAATGGAACTATTTTTTGTACTTTTTATATAATTGTTAATTTTATCATAGTCATTCAAGTTTCTCAAGCTTTAAGACTTGACCAAAAACTAAGCCCTATAAACTTCCATTCGACAGGAAAAAGAATCATGATACCGTTCGATCGACAAACAAAGGCACCTATTTGATTGGGACTGAGGAAAAAAAAATTAAAGAAAAAACAAAAGCACCCATTATAAGAAATTTGTGCTCAGCATCCCTCTACAGATCCCTAACCCTCAAACAGCCATTATTCTACGGATAAAAGGAAACAAAAATTAAAATCAAGGGAAATAAATAAGTGTCACACTGTCTGCTGGAAATGGTACATATGCCCCTACAATGTTGCCAGATCTTCTGCCTCCTCTTTGTGGAAACTCATGCGTAATTCAAGGAAACAACCCTGACCAAGGATGCCTCATAAGCCATATAAATGCTTGCTGCCACCCAACCACCACCACTGCGAATTACAAATCTTATCTTAAATTTGACGAAAGCCCTCGGCTCAAACCCATTGACGGGCACTGGCCACCAGAGACTCATCAACTCAATGCCAGTTTGCTTTATAGAAAGTAATCAGGTGTCCTCCGGGTTACATCCGGCTCTCCTCTCCTGGGAGCAGGCTCAAACTGCAAGAACAGAATAGTTCTTAAATGTTTATATATGGACGTGCAAGGAAATATACCATCATTTACAATGAAAATATTAAGCAAGCAGAGCGGGTGCGTGTGTGAGAGAGAACAGCTCACCTGAATGAATGTATGACCCTTGCAGTCATCAACTTCCAGGATGGAAGCCATGTTCCCACATCGATAGCAATAATTAGGTGCACTAAATATAGTAACAACCTTTTGTTCCTGTCGAATAAATGGTATCAATTACACAAATCTCATATAAAAACTCACAATATTCTGGAAAAAGCAGCAAAATAGAGGAAGTACTTACATGACCCCAATTGTACCCTTCCATGACCAGCTGATGAGCCCTAGCAATCAGCTTCAAATTGTTCATATGGTTAAATTGCTCAGATATGTCCTAAAAAAGTCATAAAAATTAGCACACCAAGGGAAGTTAAAAACTTACCATTTGACCACATCTAACAGAAAACAGAGGAATAAAAACAAAAAAAAAAAAAAAGGAAGCAAAACAAAAGAATATTACTTGGCCAAAGGTATATCCAGCACCCCTTGGAGAAATACCCCAACCGCAACGATCATCTGGATCAGACCACAATAGATCACACATGGGACCCTCATGAGGGACTTCTTGAACACGGTCAAAATTGCGTATATTATCCAGCGTTTCAATGGATGGAGACAACCCACCATGGAGACAGAAAATTTCAGATTCAACCTTCAAAACAGCAGAAAGTCTGCAGCTAAGAACCATTAAAAAAAACCAAATACAAACATAACAAAACAATACATTTGCCTATAAATGATTTATGGTGTCATAAACTAACAAACTATATCAAAAGTTGGACTAACATCAGCAGAGTTAGCTCAGCTTAGCTTAGCTAGTTGTTTAATCACATATGATCTATAAGAATTGAAGCTTTTAAGTGATGAATAGTGCTGCTAAAATTTCTACTAAAGATTACCAGTGAGACAGAGAATAGAAAAAAAAAATGGAAAGTTATGGGTGTTGGGCAAAGTTATGAAAACAGCATGCCAGAAGTGATGGCAGTTTCTTTAGTTCACTTTAATATCAATCCCTTTATGGTTACAGTTAGAAAGTTGTCATCCCATGGTAAATAAGGGATCTGATAGCCTACATTTATTCCAACTCGGAGGTGAGTGTTGGATAATGGTATGCCTAGGACAATGGTACGTTCAATTTTTTTCTAAGTTTTTCCTTATATAGAGGCTTGGAGCTCCATTCGCATCCATCAGCTATTGAGGTCAAAACCATCAGATATGTCAGACAAAAGCCCTTAATGGAAAATCAAGAGTAACAAGGGAACACTTTCCAAAAGTAGTGCACCATGTTGAAAACAAAATAAAATCAATCACATGTGGATGGCACGTGCTACAAAGTGTCTAAATTACTCAAAGCACACCTAAGTTAATGTCCTAATTTCAAGTAACACAACCTAAAAGCTTTATAAAAGAACATTTCAAACATCAAACTACAAATAATAAGATACTAACCAATGCTGTTAGTGGAAAATAGTCAAACAGATCAGTAAAGATCTTCCAAACGTTGGCATTGCCATACCTGCAGATAAATAGAAAACATATCTTCAAAGAAAGATCAAAAGTTCAATCAAAAAGAAACTTAGTAACCCAAAAAAGTAAATGAATAAACAATTAACATAGGACCAGCATACAACATAGCTTAACAGAGAAAGTAGTTTCAGAGTATTTTAACTACTTAATTGTTTCTGCAAACATAATCAACTCTTATTTTCAGAACAAGAATTACATGTTAAGTGAATCCTGCCTTCTAGCACAGAAAACTTAAGACACCCTTTAAAGTTATGTAACTACATGCAAAACAAGCTTATCCACGGACAACATCGCATTGCCCCAGCACTAATATTGGCATAAGCTACTTTCAAATTCAATGTTTAAACCAGTTCAGAGCCCAATTGTCTCTGTAAGAAAGATAATTGACATGCCACCTAAGCAAAAGTTTAATGAAAATTTGTGTGTTAAAAAAGGAAGATCTGGAAGTCATTGAAACAAAACATCATACATCTAGATCAAAATACTTTTTTAAAAAATTTCTTACATCAACCTGTCCCTAAAATAAATTGATTCTCTTTGTTTTATCTATTTGCCACATTAGATTCATGCATCAAAGCTGCACATCAAGCACAAAATATAACCAGATTACTTTCCCACTTAGTATAATCAAATTAAGGCTTAAGCCTAATGACCTTCAGACAATATATATAAATGAAGAGAACACAGAGGAAAGAGGAAAGATAACGAGCAATATATTATGGTCAAAATAAAGAAATCCAGCCCCAATCTCAACTCTCAAAATGAATGTATTTCTGCATTGGAAATAAGCCTATATAACAAGATTCTAAGATACTCACTTCCTTAAGCATTCATCATAAAAGCCATACACTTGAGTAATCTGCACTTTAAACATAAAACCATTAACAGGAAATAAAACAACCAAGTGGATATAAATAAGTTGCAAAGAAAAATGGAAAACAACAATGACAATCATTTTTTTCGACATGCATTACAGCTTATAAAAAGAACACTAACAAATCATTCCTACTTAATAAGCTCTTACAAGCAATATACATCATGAATAGTCATTTAGAAACATAGCATACCTGACGACTCTCATGATTTCCCCTCAGAATTGTTATCCGTTGGGGGTAACGCACTTTCAGGGCTACCAAAAGCTGAACAGAAGTCAATCATAAACAAACTATAAGTTGCAACCACAACAAAACACAATTAACTGCAATTAATTAAGGTTCTGCACAAAATAATTCAGAGAACAAACAATCACCACAATTATAGCAGTATACTTGAGACTCCACCTTGAGTTCATCAGATTACTTAGGGTCAAAGAAAAAAATCAATTTGTAGATAATAATTTCGTTATTTTAGTGGTTAACTCCCATATATTGTATAATAAAGCTGCATAATAGACACATCAAACAAAATGGTAGAAGTTTGACAAAATGCCATGGATGATAACATATGAAACCAGACAGCAGATGAACTCCAATCTGAAGCAATAAGGAACATTGAATCAACAGACCAATCAAACTTGACCTGACCACATGCCAGTAGATAGAAAAATGTCACCATAAGACAGTTTGACTAACCATGTGATATGCTCAGAGAGAATACGAAGCACATAGATGTATGTGTGTCTTTGCACAGACATACTCCATACATGTACACACACAAAAACACACATTTCTGTACATATGTATATATGCATGTGTCTGTATGTGCATATATATGTAAATAGATGCATAGATTTACTTCAACAGTGCTTCATACATATATACATACGTACATACACACAAGCATATATATATATATATATATATATCAATATGAAACATATCTACATACTAAGATTCGTCAAAACTAGTAAGCATGTGGATCTTTGTGTATGCGTGCATGTGTACACACATCCGCCACCTAAGATGAATAAAAATCTGTCAAATCTGGAGACCTGTGCAAATTCATCATGCAGAAAAGCTAATTAAATAAAAAGAAGTGCAATTAGTACTGTAACCACAGACCACCTCAACTAACCCTCCTTTTTTGCAAAATCACTAAACACTTAAATGAACAAAATAATGTAGGTTCCTTGTATAGAATTATCGCTAGTAGAAAATAACACAATCAGGAAAAAGAAAAAAAAAATCAAACAGTCCAGGTGAAACATATCAAAATCAGGAAATCAAAGATGGTAACCCATACTTACTGTTACAGTTTCAACTGAATAGTAACCACGATCAACATAATCTCCCATGAACAAGTAATTTGTATCTGGACACTGACCATAAAATTTGCAACAAAAACTAAATGTTAAAAAAAAATAACACAGAAAAAAAGCTAAAAGAAATAGGAAGTAGAGGAAAGTCAATAAAAAACAAGCTTAATTGATGAACAAGCAAAGTGTATCAATGCACCAAAATTTTGTTTGAATAGTCAACAAGTGAAACAACAAAATTAAAATCAAATCAAAATCAGAAATTATGTTAGTAATTCAGATTCCTAGTGTACCATGTTACATTACAGGCATTAGTGTTCAAGCTAACACCATCCCACAAAGTAATGAAAATTCTATAGAGCAGAAATATAGTTAGATATGCATGATGGCTGTGCTCATGATTTGTGAATGCTTGTTGAAGACCAGACAAGGACAAAGTACAACATGCATTTCAAATTGTTCACAACAGTTAGCATCACATACGAAATACAAAATAGCAGCCTCTGTCAGAGAATTTACCTTCCCTCCAATTCGAAAAAGTTCTGCAAGATCATGAAATTGTCCATGAATATCACCGCATATTGTAACAGGGCTCTTGACAGGCTGTGTTGCATCAAACAAAAAACCATTCAAGTCATAATAAGCCAACCGCACATGTGATAGGAGAAAGCAATTGATGCATTCATTCAAATAATTGAAAGGCTCCATAGTAAGTCTTAAAACTGGAAGCTTAATAAGATTTTAAGGTTCAAAAGGGGACACCCCAACTGTTAGAACATGAGACTTTCAAGATAGAGATCTTAGGTTCATATCGTGGAAGGGAAGGTTGCGGATTGTGGGATGGGATGGAACTACCACATGTATGTACCAAAAGATAAAATACACGGGACTTAAAGATACTTGATGACCATATCAAGAATTCAAAGAACAGGATAAGGCACAGGTATGAATGCTAACAATTGCAGTATATAGCATTCAAAGTTCTCATTATTTCATTTCCTTTTTTCTTTTCCCTTAGAGTCTATGAACTATAGAGCAAAAAACTTTGAATTATTTCTTTTTTTTATACCTTATCAGTCATCATGTAAAGAAAGCAAAACTTTTAAAACAACAAACTCCATACATTTCTTTTATCAGAAAAAGAAAACACATGTTACCATCAGTAGAAACAAATCTATAGCAGCTTCAATCACAACATAAACCTCAATTAAACCAACTAATTTTTAAACATATATTATCAGTAACAAAAATATAAAAACCAAAAAGCAGGAATTAACGTGCATAAATTCAGAAATTCAATGCTGCCAATAACAAATATAGGCTAACAAAAAAGCAAATCACCACCAAAGATATTATCTTGGGGGAAAATAATAGAAACAAAATTGAAGTGATGACAGGGGCAATGGATGATAAGGCATACCTGAACATTGCTTTCCTCCATCAGTATCTCCTTAGCCTTGTCACATAACACCCTGACCTAATTCATAAAAAGAATTCCACGACAAGATCATGTACACAATAACTTTAAAAAAGAAAAAGGATTATCATCAATAAAGAGAGGTGAGTAAACAATGAGTTCTAGTAAGCCACAAATGACCAAATTAACATACATGAAGGCTTTTAAAAGTTTAGCCTAGTACGAGGTTTAAGGCACACTAAATGCAGCGGGAAAAGAAAATACGCATCCCAATGAAGAAAGTTGCTAATTTCCACAATGATTAATAAAAAATTCAAAACAAAAATTAAATTTGTTATACTTACTAACTCCAAACGTACTTTTTTAATAAACTTTGAAATGTTGACCCCCTCATAGACTAAAATGATCAAGCACTATAGAATAATATTATCACACTCTAGCATGAAGTTCCCTTCACCTCCATCACCACAGGCAATTAAAAATGAACAGTGTGCTCATTTCCTTAAAAAGACACATTAATTTTCTTTTTTTTTTTCTCAATTAAAAATAAATTCCTTGTAAATACAAAAAATTGAAGAATTAAAAAGGAAACCTACAACCATATGCCCTGGTGCCATCCAAAAGGCACCTTCACACCTAAACACGCAGCTTGTGTACACTAAGAAAACTGTCCAAATAAGATACAATGCTACAGGCAAGAAATAGATTTATCACAACTCAAATTACAGCAGCTTTCCCCTTTAAGAGGGACAAAACTAATCCTATTTGTGCAAATATTGTCAAATCCTTAGTCAGAGAAGCACAATGGAAAACAAATGTATCAAATGACGCAGCAGATAGACATGGAATTGGCCAAACCTGACAAGAAATTTCAGAACATTTCTACCCTCTAACAACATTTCTTGAGGGCATTAATCCTTAGCCTCAAAAACCAATGCTTTAGACAATTGAGCATTGTTACTACACTAGGATAAAATTAAGTAAAATGAATTTACTAATACTAAACCTCCAATTCTATGAAGACTACACATTTGTCTTAGGAAACGAAAGCAAGTAAGAAAATGAATAAACAAATTGCATCAATATTAGTAAAACCAAGCAAATAAATAAATAAACAAATCGATTCCGCAAAGATCCTATCTTGCTTTTGTTTTTTCTGTTCCAGCAGATAAAGTGGATCTGACTAAATATCTAGAAAATACTCAACAAAAAATGGATCGGTGCAAAAAGCCAGAGATCAAGCCGTAAATGAAGAAATTCCAAACAGATCCATTCCGTTTCGGAATGAAAATAAATACCTCTTGCTCCGATAAGGGCTTGCACTGCATCAGCTGAGAAATCTGTTCGTCCAGGTTCCCATGCGAGTTCGAACCCACTGAAGACTCCATCATTCTATTATTATTCTTAACCCTTGATTCCCAAACTTTTATTTTTAGTTTTCTGGAGAGAAAGGAAAATAAAGAAAGGAAGCGGTGGTGAAGACCCCAATGCTTTCGATCACTCACTCCTGTTAACAAATTTAGTTTTCTTTTTGATTGAGTTTTATTTTAAGGAAAAAAAAAAAGTTGAGGCCGTTTCAAAAAATGTTTGGGCGGAATTTTGGTGTTGTCGAGTTTAGCGAGTGGAAGTAACGGACCCATCATCATGGAGTAGAAATATGTGGTGGAGGGTTTCAGTCTGACCGTGGTGCTGTGATTGCAAGAGGCGCGTGGGTTGGGATCTGCATTCAGGTTTTGATGATTGGTTCCACGGATCTTTGTACTTATTGGGCGTAACAGAAGCTTCGAGATGTCCAAGCAAAAACTTGGAATTTAGGGTAGCATTGGTGACTTCATAAAATCATTATGGTAATAAGAACAGGTAAAAAAAGTTATGGCTTGTTTCCAACCATATATGTCATAATCGGAATGAAAAACAAATTGGGGCTTCTTCGGAGATATATTTGTTTTGTGTTTTATATTTTTTTTCTTTGAAAATTAGAAATAAAATTATGTTTGATAAGTTAATTTTGTTTTAAAAATAAAAAAAATTGAAAATAAAATTTTGGAGATTGTTGGAAGTGAAAAAACAATGTTTTTAATATTTTAAAAACATTTCTATTGTTGTTTTGAAATATTACCCGGACATGAACAATATCAATTTTAATGTGAAAAAAATGAAAAAACCATCTAAACTATCAATTTTTAGATCCCAACCACTGCCACTTTATAACCCATGTCCCCAGCCACTTCTTCATGTGATCCTTTGTTTTCTTGCATCATGTAACGAAATGTTAATTATCAAATGTGTTTTCAATTTCAATAAAATAAAATAAAATTTCAAAAATATAAAACATAAAACATGAAATTGACAATAATATCAAACAACCTCTAAGTTAATAGTTAATTTGGTTCATTGTCAAATCAGTAAAATATTTTAAAAATTAGAAGTTCAAACTTTTAACTTTGAAATATTAATAAAAAAATTCAACTCTAATAATTTAAAAAATTAAACTAAAATTTTAAGATATATCATAAATTTTAAATTTTAAAATATAAAATTCAAAGAATAATAACTATTGTTAGTTTTAAGTATCCAATTTAATTCATGATGACCAATAACTTTTCATAAAACTCCAATTGTTACCAATATAAAGATCGCATGCATTTCCAAAATAAAGGCTTACTATCAAGATTTTAATAAGAAGACACATTAGCAAAGTTCTCATTTTCATCTTCAAGTATAATTATGTCATCATCGTCATTGTATATGTCATCCAAATTCAAATCATCTATATTATTAAAAAATTTTGTATTTAATATTGAATAAAATATATATGATAAAATTAATGATAATCAACCCAACTCAAAATAAGAATAATTAAAATAATGCAATTGAGATAATCAAATTACCATAATTTTGAGTTTTAACATTACACAAAGTAAGTTGTTGACAAGAAAGTTTTTTTATGTATATTTATTTATTCTAGTGATATTTTTATTTATTATTATTTATTTAAAATTATATTTATCAGTAAGTAGTTAGGATTATTTTGAATTTATTATTATCTAGTTTATCCTTTAGGAATGATATATATTTAGTTGAATTAGAAAACTATGTAAAATTAATCTATAAATTCATTTTAGAATTAAGTTTATAAATGTGAAGAAGTCTTAATAAAAAAATACTTAAAGTTTGAGTTCACTTTAAAGAACGTTTTACTTTTCTCCTTTTTTAAGTACACAACATTTGATATCAAAGTCAATTTGAGTGATATGTATCATTTGGTATCATAGTCATGTTGAAATATCAAATCAACGGCTTGAAATGTTAAATGCCAAAATGTTGTGTATCAGATAATAAGTAAAAAAATAAAAAGAGCTTTTAAAAAAAAAACTCAACCTTTGTAATTTATTTGATTCACCTTTGGTCATAACAATTATAAGTTGGTTTTTAGATAAGCCAATTAAATACTAAGAGATGATGATAAACATAAATAATTATTATCTCTTAATAAATAATCTTAAAAGATAAATAAATAAATATTTTAAAATAATCATCTTAAATTATAAATAAAATAATAAGACAAATCTCAAGATAAAATACTAAGATAGTCTTAATTAAATATCTTAGAATGGTAGATGCACATAACATTCCATTTTTGTTAAAAACACTCTTGTTTTCAAGGGTTAAAACTAGAAAACTAGCACTTGCCTTTTCCTATGTCCTTCCACATTGCTTCAGTTTGTTGATGAATCTTGTTAAAATAAACTAAAATTGAAATGGAAAGGATACTTGATTGGATTATTCCAACATATACAAGAGCTATTTGATCAATGCTAATATTTTGAAAGTGCGATTTATTAAACACAAAATCAACTTCTTTGTTGAATAAAATTGGATGATTTTGCAATTGAAATGGCAGCGAAATGATAAAACTTTTCTCCACATTTTCAAAGTTGTTGGACAATTCTAGTTTAGGAAAAGTATATAGTGTTGCTTGATTTAACAAAAAATTTTTAACAGCTTCAAAACTTTTTACTTTTTTAGATCGATCATCATGATCAACTTTATAAGAAACCACTAGATTTAAACATAAACTCATGAAAAAATATAGTTCACTAATCTTGTTTATTACAATTTCTAACTCTGCAAGTTGTTGATCTGACATCTTAAATCGTTAATTTGACATATCAACCCGGCTTTGATATCAAAATGTTATGTATCAGATTAATAATCAAGAAAGTAAAAAGAGTTTCAAATGAAACTCAACCTTTGTTATTTGTTAGAATATTTATTATTTATATTTTAGGATTATTTGTTAAAAGATAATAGTTATTTATGTTTATCATCGTCTTTTAGGATTTAACTTTAAAACAAACCAAAAATAAAAATAAACAGAAAAAAAAAAACAAATCAAAAGAAAGTGACACCTAAAAAATATAAAAATGAACCCACAACAAAAAATAAACATATATATTTATTTATATAAAAGTAAAAAAAAAAAAAAGCAAATGAAAATAATAAGATAAAACAAAATGGGCCTATGAAAAAAAATAAAAAACAAGCTCATGACTAAAAAATAATTTTAAAAAGTTTTGAATATAAAAAAATGAAAAGCAAAAAAAAAAAGAAAAAAGGCACATGTCAACATAGGAAGGAAAGGAAAATGTGAAAAAATAATTTTAAAAAAAAGGTTGACACAAGGTGAATAGTGCAAATTAGTACAATTTTAAAAATAAATTATATATACCATTAGGTGTTTGGGGGTATAGCATTTTCAATTTGCTTTTGACCCGTCTCTGTTTTTTACAAAAAAAATTGACCTGAATTGACTTAATATTAATTTTTAAAAACATGCTCACATCAAGTCAAGATAGATATAAACCTATCAAATATTGATTATTTTGCTATTTTTATTGATTGGCTCAATTTGTTGTAAAATCGATTTAGTTAAAAATACAAAAAAAAACAAAACCAAAAAAAAGGAAAATAAATAAATAAATAAATAAGGGTGCTACATGGACACTTTCATTGACATTATTTTTTTATAAAATTTATCTAGTAAAAAACAATAAATGAAAAATAAAATAAAATAAAATAAACAAAAAGAGAAAAAAAATATCTCACTATTAAATCGAGTTGAATCAAAACCCATCGTTACAAATTATTTTGTCATCCCTACTCATTGACTCACTTTTATTGCAAAATTTATGTAATTAAAAAAAAAAAAGCAAAGGAAAAAAATTGAATTGGAGTGTCACATTGATTTCTCCATTAGGCTTTTTAACAAATTTATCTAAATTAAAAACAAAAAATAATAAAGTTGACAAAATAGAAAAGGAAGAAAAAAGTCAAAAAACAAAAAAGAAAGAAACATAAGGTTTCATGGTGACACCATAAATTAAGGTCAAACAAAAGTCAAGATTAGTAAAATTTATATGATGGATAGATGGAATAAATTTAAATTATGTATAAATATAGTTCTTTTATTAAATTAAGATATTAAGTAATAATTTTATTAAAATAATAATATATATAAATATAAATGAAATAAATAATTAAAAATATAATTATATATATATATATATACTTATGTCAAAACAAAAACCTTAAACCTTCGTTTGACTTAAACCTGATTTTAAAAAAGAAAAAAAATCTTAATTTGATCCCAATTTTTTTAAAACTTGCATGTATAAGATTGGACCAAATATAATGTAATACCCCAACCCAAACATTACAAGAAAATTTTCATATACTAATACCTAATTAAACTGACAGTCAATTATGTTAGTAAAAGCGATTTATACTAATGGTTTTTAAAACTATTAACATATATCATACCAATACCAATACTTTATACAACAATCGATATAGATAAACTTTTTTTGATGGCATATAACTATCTGTCAATATAAGAATGTTATATACTAACACTTACTTATATTGACAATCATATTAAGTAAGTAAAAATTATCTATACTAATGGATTTTTGTTACTGTTAGTATAGACAATGCCTATACCAACACTTTATTTTTTTTATCAGTATATATTGATATTTTTCTAACAGTATATAAATAACCATCAATATACATATTTATATACTGACAGATTGTATTTTAACTATCGATATAAGTTTCAACTAGTAAAAAATATCTATAGGTAGACAGTACCTATACCAATAGAAGTAATTAACTGTCAGTATAGCCATAGGATATATTGACAGTTATATCTACCCGTTAGTATACACTATAAAAACTTATTAGAAGAATTGACGCTTGATTATATTAACAGTCAAATTGTGTAAGTAAAAGATATTATACTAATAGATTTTTAATAGCATCAGAATATACAATATTTATACTAACACTTTGTTCAACTGTTAGTATAGGTAAAATTTTCTAACAGTATGTAAATATTTGTCTATATAAGTATGTTATATACTGACTGTTGTTATTATAACGATCAGTATAAGCTTCAAAAATATTAATTCATAATTTCTTTTTCAAAAAGTATTAATTCATAATATATTTTCCTCTAATAAAAATTCTCAAAACTATAATTTCTCAAATCCCGCTAAAATTAAACACTAAATTAAATAATTGCAAGACAAAAAAATAAATTATTTACAACAATTAAAAAAATTTCCCACACCTCTTAACTCTTCCTATCTCACCTCAGTCTATCGCTTGTCTTTCTCTTTTAACTGCTAGTCTCCTTATTTCCCTAAAATTGTAAACTCAAATAACCTTATATCGATAAATTTCCACAATCTGTCACTCTTCATTTTGCCTTCTCCATTGATTCAAGGCTTCTCATCTTTCTCACTCAACTCCCA